CTTTTTCCCCCATCAGTGCAGATTTTCCACTGAGCTCTCGGCAGACGCACAATTCCCACCCTTTGAAGAGAGACTCCTAATTTTGGGGGGATGAACAAACATCAAATCATGGCTTGGAAAACTTCCAGCGGGCTCAACTACGTTCCCAGTAACTCTCTTCTTGGCCCAGCCACTTGGATGTTTGAAAGCAACTCTCTGGATCTGACTCCTGATGGCAAGATAAGATAATTCCTTTTCAGTTATCACATTTGGGAAACCAGCCCGGACATCCTCTCTTCATCTCCGGAGACTGTTTTATGATTTGAGAAATGCTGGTAGGAGTAGCTATAAGAATTGGGATAAACCCCAACTTCTCCATGGGGATGCTGGTTCTGTGCACCCTCCCCCTTCCCCCCGACTAGTGACTACACATAAGTATGGTGAAACCGAATGGCTCTAACTCTCATCTGATTTGCTGAGGCTCCTGAAAGATCTTAATTCACACCAATAATAATTCCAAGTTTAACGTATAGGGCAGGCCGTATTGGTGTCATCTCTAAGCCAGTGGATTTGGAACCTTTTTTCTTGTGAACCAGTGGGGAAAAATCATTTATGTCCATGACACCCCCCCCACCCCAGCAGTGCTGAGGAGGTCCCGGGGTGGGGGTGGGGGTTCCTCGGCAGCTGCTGGGGAGTTCCAATGGCTGCCAGGGAACTCCCCCCGGGGGAACTCCCCAGTGGCTGCCAACCTAGTACCCCACTCCTGCAACCCGTACTTTGGAAATCACTGCTCTAAGCTACTGTCAGACCTCTAAAAGCGACGAGGAGTCCTGTGGCACCTTATAGACTAACTGAAGTGTAGGAGCATAAGCTTTCGTGGGCAAAGACCCACTTCGTCAGATGCATCTGACGAAGTGGGTCTTTGCCCACGAAAGCTTATGCTCCTACACTTCAGTTAGTCTATAAGGTGCCACAGGACTCCTCGTCGCTTTTGCAGATTCAGACTAACACGGCTACCCCTCTGATACTTGTCAGACCTCTGAGTTTCATGCATATGCCGGCACACACAAGGCCTGGGAGCTCTAGATGTCGACATTTACAGCATGGTGGGGGAACCTAATTGGGAGGAAAAGACACGTGTGAAGCACTTACCTATGTTGGGGTGTTTGGTTCACAGCTGCCACATACCTTCTGCAAAGGCAGGTCAAGGTGCGCGCGGTTTTTCTGACAGATTACGCTGTGCAGTGACTCCCCCTGTGTGTCTTGTGAACCCCTTTAGAGCAGCACTAAGGTCAGCATGGCATGGGAGCTCAGTGACGCTGCTGGTGCTGGGCAGGAAACAAGGTCTGCGCACCCTAGAGACAGGGATTCTGCGCTGATATGGAGAGAGATCTCTAGGGCGCTGGCAGTTTTCTTCCATGGACTTTTGTGTGGGCGGGAGTCCCTTCCAATCACCTTTTCTGCACTGCTGCTTGCCCAACTTGCCCAGTGGGGTGGTGCAACGTAACTCTTGGCTCTTTGTGCCCATGGAAGTTCTCTCTGCCGACATGTTTTCAGGGGGCTCCATTCCAGTGGCGCCAAGCTCTTCAGGTTCTTGAGGGAATCGGGATGATCCCGTTGCAGAAGGAGGAGGAAAAGAGAGAAAAACAATTGTCCATGACCACAGGCACTAATTACAACAATCCACCCCTGCAGCAAGCGCAGGGCCTTAGTCAGAGCATACTGCTCATTTTCTCCATTCGGAGCCAGAAGTGCTGGCCTTGAAATATCGGAGGCACGGTTGGCACCATCAGCTGCAAGTTGTCCTGTTTCTGTTGTCTCTGGGGTATGTCTAGACTGCATCCCTCTGTCAGCAGAGGGATGCAGATTAGGCAGGTTGACATTGCAAATGAGGCAGGGATTTAAATATCCCGTGCCTAATTTGCATAAAAATGGCTGCCACGTTTTGCCGACTCAGCACTTGGTCGGCAAAAAGCGGCAGTTTAGAGGGGGATCGGTCGAGAAAGAAAGCCTTTTTTGACAGATCCTGTAAACCTCCTTGCAGGCGACATAAGGGATCTGTCAAAAAAGGCTTTCTTTTTCAACAGATCCCCTTCTAGACTGCTGCTTTTTGCTGACAACGTGCTGAGTCGGCAAAACGTGGCAGACATTTTTATGCAAATTAGGCACGGGATATTTAAATCCCTGCCTCATTTGCAATGTCAACCTGCCTAATCTGCATCCCTCTGCTGACAGAGGGATGCAGTCTAGACATACCCCAGAGACAACAGAAACAGGACAACTTGCAGAGGATGCAGACTAGACATACCCTAGGAGTGTTGTAATGGACAGACACCTGGCCTTGCTTTTTGTTCAGCAGTGATGTTGGCTTCACACCTGGTTTCCTTAGGCTGGCAATGCTTGCAGGGCATGTTCCGGAGAAGGCTAAACCAGGGCACTAGTTCACGTGTAGGTTTTGCTGTGAACAAAGTGAAGAGCAAGAGCCAAGTTCAGAGGAGA